GGGAGCGAAGGTTATGCTCTCGAAGAACCTGTACCAACAAGTTGGGCTGGTGAACGGCATTAGAGGCGAAGTCGTCGAGTTGGTGTGCGCAGATGATGCGCCCCCGCCGAAGCTCCCCCTTTACGTTGTCGTCAAGTTTGAAGGGTACTCGGGGGGGGAATGGTCGTCTCAGGAGAGGTATAGACGTTGTGTCCCTATTTCTCCCGTCGACACCACCTGGCAGGACGGGGGGACGCAGGTCAGGACGCAGCTGCCCCTTAGGCTCTGCTGGGCAATTACGATGCACAAGTCCCAGGGGCAGACTTTAGCCAAGGCCGTCATTGACTTGGGGCCCAAGGAGGCCTGCACGGGGCTTACTTTCGTCTGTCTCAGTAGGGCGAAGAGACTTGTGGACCTCATGGTAGAGCCCATGAGTTTCGACAGGATTGGTAACCTTGGAAATTCGCCGACGATGAAGGCTAGGCTGCAGGAAGAGGTTAGACTTGGGGAGTTAGCACAGAGTACGAGGGTCAAGTACACGGACATGGGCGTCTTCAGCGCCGTCGCGGGTAACCAATGACGTGAATTGCAAAGAGAAAAAGAAGAAGAAAGGGTCTCTTCCACCTCCCGCGGACGCACACGTCTGACGACAGTTACATCTATCAGCTGTCGCTCGTTTTAGCGACAGCTACTATATCTTTAACGTGGTACGCGATGCCACATGTGCATACATAGCTAGAGCAGAATTCCTTCAACGCGCATGATGTTTTGTGACGGCGGCTACAGCAGTACTGCTGTAACTAAAGCAGTACTTCAACTTCAGCATGCCCTCGGCTTCTCCGTAGGCCAAGGGTCAGTTGTTGGGATCGAACTCTTAATTCGAGGCGCCTTTGCTGCCTACATCTGTGAAACGGCTACTAATAGACCAGTCTATTGGTAGCCTTGTGAGCGGCCAAGCATCGATCACTATGCACGAATGCGAGCACCATGGACTACAAGGTCATATGAACAACAACAACAACAACAACAACAACAACAGCAGCAATAGTGAGGCACAGGACGTGAAGGTGCGATCATGTCTTCCCCGCCCACACACTGCAGACGCTCTTGGACGATCCCAGCCACATGGAGCGAATACTGGCGTCCATGGCGGAGCTCGCGCCGCCCATTGCGCCGTTGGAAGGGTGTTCAAATTGGCCGTCAGCCACCACTGTGCCCTTCGCACGTCGAACATCGTGAGGGCGATGAAGTTCTACTCCCTGCTAGGCATGAATGAGGTACGTTTTTTCGTCGATGTTTTCTATACATGCAGCCCTGTCATGGCTCGAGCTTGTGGTCGTATGCCGTAGCCCACCGGGCGGGAGGGGGCGGTGCAGGTCATCTCCCTACCCCGTCGAGGATCAACTCCGACTTTTTCTTCTGTCATCGATGTGCAGCTCGACGTAGCGAAGCCGGGTGTTTGGTGCTCCTCGCCAAGGCCGTGGTGGGACCTGTGTCTGACACGGACCACGCCCCATCCCCGGTGGCTACCGTCGTCTTCCTTTTTGCTGCTGTCGATACCGAACGCGCGATGGTCGCTTTCTAACGCGGGCCAGGCGGCGCGGTTCAGGGCGGGGAACGCGAGATGCGCATTTTTTGAGGGTGCGGGCATGCGGCTAGAGCTGATCGAGGTGTGTCCAAGCGCCGTGTGGTCTTCGTTAACGCTTTTGTATTCTCTTGGCGGGGTTTCTCTGGTCCTTCCTTTCGAGTCCCTTCGCCCGTGCGCTCCTTTGTCAGAACGTGCGCCTGTTCCTGTTTTTGTTCGTTTGGGGGGTGCCTGCATTGGAAATTCGCTAGTTAGCCTTGGAAAGTCGCGAGCCACGGGTAGGAAGGAGGGGACAGCACACGTTGCAGTAACAACGCATCCGTGCGAGCGGGAAAAAGTCGCCGACACGCCGCAACACCAGGAGGTGCTGTCGACGGGGTGCACTTGGTAGCACTGGCGAGTACTGCTAGTCTACAGACGGGGGGCAGGCAACGCATTGATACAACACCGGCTGTCTTCAAGCAGGCTGGGGGCAAACGATCCTGGTGTACAAACACGCGTATGCATAGCTCCCGGAAAGTATACACTAGTGAATAGCATGGCCGAAGCGGATCAAGTGGGGGGCAAGGGATGGCAGCAGCCTACCGCTGTACCTACAGCTAACGGGCAGGGTAGGGACAGAAACGCACGGGGGAATATTCAAACCCAAAGAGCCCCGCAGATTGCGAGCAACAGGCGTAAGGGCCAAAGAAACGCGGCAGGATTATTCCCAACGCGCCCTAGCCTAACCCAATCTATTCAGCAGAGCGAACCCCACCCTACAACACGAATCGGACACCTCCGTCACTCTTCGGGAGGCGAATACCCCAGTCAACGCCCCCTGCAAGCACTGTCCAACCTATCCCAGAAGTGTAATCTCACCATTTCCCTCGTCAATTTATTGCGTCTGGATGACAAGGCCGTGGACCTTGCGGCCGACATGAGGACGACGGGCCTCAACCACATGGCCTTCGACGTTGGGCCGGCTATCGAGGCGGAGGGTCTGGACGGCATGAAGGGGTTCTTGTCGGAGTTGAATCGGCAGGTGACATCTACAGCCATCTAGATGACCGGTTGAATAGGTTAGCGCCCGCGACTAAGAGACAAACCTTTTCAGCATCAAGGGCTCAAAGAGTGCTGATGTATAAGAAAAACCGACAAAGAATCACGCCTCAGCCGTGGACCCTACACAAAACTTTACAGATGACCTATGCTCGACGGTGGTGACGAAAAAAGGAAATTGAGCCTCGACCCCAAGTTGCCGTTTTGTAAACATGGGCGCTAACTGTGAGCGCTACTGAGTGAGAGAGGAGGGGTCGGTCGCACTAGCGTTGAAACGACGAAATTTCTGCGGAAATGAGTTGTTTCTCGCCGCTTCAATCTCACCAGCCGATCTAATGGTATCACGAGTCGCGAATGACGAGATGCATTGCTTCGAGCGAGCAACATATAACCCCGTGGACCTACGTATGTTTACCGGGTTGGACAATCAAAGCGTTTGATTTGATGGTACGTGGTGACGGCAGGCCCCAGAGATCGAGCGCGTGGTGATGTTGATATGTAGAAACTTGCCTGAACATACAACCCTCCCCCGCGTCACTTTCCTGATACGCCCTTGGTCAACGACTCCCCATTCTTGCAGAGCGAGGACGCTTTCGGCATGAGTGTGCGATTGGTCGTCAGTCCGTACGAGCAGGTCAGTTCCGAAGCAACCTCGGAACCAGCCTCCGAACAACCGTAGCCCCTGTGCTCTCGCTACACCGAGCGCTCGGCGCATGCTGCAATCTGCGTCAGAGTGAGAAGCGTTCCAAATACCGCATCCCGCTATGTACCATCAGTAGCGGTCAACGCATTCGATAAAAGGAACAAGCCGAGCTTGCCGTTGTGTGCGAGAATTCAAAGGAGGTGGTGAGGGAAGGAACCGTTCCGCTGCGCCAGCGGCACGAAGTCGTTTTTCACCAGATTACCTGTGTGTAGTAAGTACAATACGCGTGCATGTTGTCGCTTTAACATGGCTCTCCCTCTCGTACCTCGCTACGCTTGTTGTTGTGCACAGCGGATCGGCCAGGAGATTTTCGATCTAGCGTTCGTGATGGACGCCGACGGGGTGCTCCTGGAGCTGGTGCACAAGAAGGACACCCTCGATATCGATATGCCTCAGGCTTGGTGACCTACCCACCTGCCGCCACTCCAGCAACCGTAGCCCTGACGGTGGGTCGTGATTTGGCGTGCCCCCTCCGCCCCGACCCAATGGGACACGTTTTGACACCCATCCCCACTTGCTCTGCAGTGAGTGAACGAAGGGTTCGAAGCCGCGCCCGGAGGGGAAGCTCTTGTGGCGGTGGAGGGGGACTCCTGAACATAGAGTTTGACGTTTCTAACGCGGCCGCTTCGAGAGCGGTGAGTGGCGTCGATCGATGACGCAGTGACACGCTCCCGGCCGACGTCTTGGAAGATGCGAGCAGCAGAAAGACCTAGAAAATCATGGTGGGAGGCGTTTGGGTCGGGAGGGTTTCTTCAAGAGCTTCCCTCGCCCTGCTCTCGCAAAGCTTGCCTACCATTCCACGGCAACAGCGCACGCTGTCAGTTTGCACACTCTGTTGAAGGGTTTTTCGAAACAATTTTTTTTTGGCTACTTCTGAAATTACACTTACTAGAGTGCCAGGGTGATCATCCGCCGGAAGGGGATGTCGTAGTGACAGTGCGGTCGGTGCGGGCTTTAGGAGGAATACCAAATACACGACGATCGTGTCATACGTATTCCGTTTGTTCTCAAATCGCCCTCCTCGGGGGCAGTAGTTTCTCAAAAGCGTTTCGAAGACTTCAGCCATGGTTGGTCGTGGAATGGGAGGCTCGGGGGGATACCCATGTTAGCGTGCACTTTATTTGCCTCTCGCGAGACTCAGATCGGCCACAGTTGGTGTTTTTTATACCTCCATCAATAGTAGATAAAATATGTGCAGACGACGAGTTAACGTTCTATGGTGGCCTTGGCAGGCTTTGGAGGGGGTATTGTAACATCGCTACCCCTGCCGTTTCGAAGATTCTGATTTTGGGCATGACGTGTCTGCGTTTGGGCTTTCGTGACGGTTTCAAGAAACGCTACCGTTGGTGTTCCCGTCAAGAGGGGTTGTGCGTTGCATACAATGCCAGTGGTTGCACAGCTTTTGTGGTCATCTTCCCGGTCTTACCCTGTTGTAGATAAGAGTCCGTTTCTTTCCTTCGCTCCCTCGCTGTTTTTTCGAATTTCTCGGCTAGAAAGACCACGCACGAGAAGAGAAGTGACGTGGGTTAAGAGACAAGACAGGCCAGAAAGTGGTGCCGTTTGCCGAGATATCTCGGACATGCACGAAGTCTGGGTTGGATATTTTGGGCGAGGAGGTGCTTCGCTGGTGTGTTGATAAAATAGAAAGAATGAGAGGGCAGCAACATTTTTTTTTGGTTTCGGTTGAAAGAATAGCAAAGGTGAGTGTGTAGCTCCACCACCTGGGTCGGTCTAGGCAGGACTGGTATGGCTATTAGAAGGTGTAAGATAATGTTGTTCGGTGCGTGTTTTTGTGATGGACATGGCATTTCCGTTGACTCAAAAATGCAGAGACTACAGTTTCACGCCGTTCACACTGGACGCCGTTGGGGTAAGGGGTTTGCCGAGCCAGTCACTCACGGGAATGGCGTCATGCGCGTTGGAGGGTGCCAGACACAAAAGCGTTGCCGGGCGCCATGTTTTAGGCTACCACTAGCTCTAGTGTTTGTTGGGGCTAAGAGTTGAACTCCAAGGGGTTGTGGGTGCTAAGAGTTAAGAGATTGGCAACGCAGCTTGCCTCAGACAACCGTGCTAGTCAACCAAGAGATTCTCGTGTTGAGGCTTCCACTAGCTCCAGGGTAGTGGGGACTAAGACTTCAGAAATATCCGGGATGAAGGGTATCCTGGTGCTTCCGACGCGCTGTTGTTTTCGGCTTTTGAGGCTTCTTTGTCGAAACGTTTCAAGAACTACAAGCATGTTTGGAGTGTGAGGCTCAACACAAAGAAGGCTTCTGCCGATGGTAAAAGAGACATGTCAAGAGAACTGCGACGTGACGAAGTTTGGCCTGGACCACCCGCCGCAACACGAGGCCTCGCCAGTTCAACGTTAAGATACGCACCGAGCAAGAGAACATGTTGGAAATGCTCCCCCGGTACTGAGAGAGCGCTCAGCGCCGGTGGGGCAACATCCTTCAGGCGAGCTTCTCCGGCTACGACCGGAGGCTTTTACCAAATCCAATATGTGCATCAAGGAAGATGTGCATAGTTACCCACCTCAGGTGGAGGAATAGAACTTCGATTTGAAACGTTTTTCTTGACGCGGGCACGGAATGTGTGATTTCGTGCCGTGCATCGTGTAAACTACTTGATGTGCTTCTATTGCAACACAACGAGAGCGGCGGCCATGGCGCTAGCAGCGAGGTGGCCGTCCCCCTTTCTGTTCTCCCTTTCCCGGGCCCGGATCTCGCTCGTCACCGTGTTGCTCGTCGGCCCGCTGCTTCTGCCCTGGCTCCCAAGGGCACGGTTAGTGTTGCCGCCGCGAAGGCTAAGGCTTCTGAATGACCTGAGGCTGTCGTACTCGTTGTTGGCAGCTCGTTCCCCAATCGGTGTTGGTCGTGTCGCTCTCTGCCGAGGAGGACCCCGAGAACCCTTCCGTCGATCGCGATGGATGACAACGTTGGCGGTGGCGTTGCTTCTCCGTCGTGTGACAATTTCAGCAACGCCAGCCTCAGCTGGGTTTACCCTAGCCAGGCTCTCGCGCGATTTGGCGTTGCTGTCTCCGACGATCACGTCGTTTTCTGGAGGCTTTTTGTTTTTCCTCCCTTGGTGGCTAGCGGGCCGGGACAGCTGCGTGCACGAGTGGAACAGACCATGACCGACGTCGAAAGAATCATCACATGCCCTTCCAGCACTAGCACTAACCGTGGACTCCACGGCAGAAATTTTCGTAGTCAGCACCGTATCGTCACCGACGCTAGCGTCATCGCTTCTCGAGAGAGGTGCCCTGAAACGGATCGAATGTCCGGAGAGCTCTGGACGTTCATTTCTTCTGCTGCGAACTTCGGCGTTCTTGGCATCGCCATTTCTTGATGCAGAGTCCACCACACCAAAACCGAAGGCTGTGTCTCCGCTACTGCGCAACGGTTGTTCTGCGACCGTGCACGAGGGTGTGGTGAATCCCGTTTCGATCTCAACCCCGCGCAGGGATGGTACCGACAACCGCGACGGGGGCGAGCGTGCATCTCCAGTAGGCTGAAAGTTGTCTTGCTCTCTTGTAATCGAATCGCGCCCTCCGGAGCCGCAAAGAAAACACGCCACGAGCTCATGCCGCTCGCACCGGTGGTTGCCTGAGCCCCGGGTTCTGCCTATTCCATCACCGATGCCTACGCCCGGTACTCTATTGGCGTTGGTTACAGCCCCGCCGCCGCCTCCGCCACCATCTCCATCTTTGCCGCTGGAATATCTCAACACAGGAAGCGAATTCGACCGCCCAAGGACACCTTGGTGGTCAAAGCCTTCCCGCCCCCCGCCCAAGGTCGGCGATTCTCCCCCGCCTAGTGCATTGGGGGACTTCTGACCATGCGATACGGTCGGCGAGAGCATTTTGCACAAGATGCAGTCGGAAAGAAGATGTCGGTCACAGGGACCGCCGATGCTACTGCCTCCCGCTGGTGCCCATTTGCCGACTACCACGTGCGCGGGGACTGGACTTGGCTGGGGGGGCTTCCAGGTGCTGTTGTTGTTGCAATTTCTGTCACTGGCGTTACCCGCTGCGGCGAAAAAAATCCTAGGTGGACTCACAACGGATTGTGCCGCAGATAATGGGTGTGGGCCGTTTCGGGATGTATTGCTGCTGTCAACGTCCGGCATGATGGTGTTGGAAAACGAACCTGCAGCAGTGGCCAACGGCTTCGACGACGTCGGTAGCACGGACCCGAGACACGAGCCGGACGGCCCATCTCCGAGAAAGCTACTCGTACGACCACAGCAGAGCCTGCATCCGACAATAACGTGCCGCTCACAGTCGCTCCGTCCACGACTACAACCGTTCCCACTACCGCCCCTTTCTTGGACGTTTGCAGCGTTGATGGGTGCCGGCGCGTCCGTACCCGCAGCTACTGGCGACGGTGTAGGCGACGCCAACGACGCCGCAATTGAAGCCTCCGTCGTAGATGGCCTTGGATTCGTACGTGTTGATTGCCTGGGTCCTGCTCCGGTGGGCGACCCAGGGGTTGGTATGTTCCAAATCACGTTCGTGTCGGTGGTGCTCGGAGAGGGCACCTCGGCCTCCAGCTTCGAGGTGTTGCCCGTCGTTGAGTCCGCCGTCGCTCGCGCCGAAAACGGCTCTCGTTGTCGCGATGGCGGATGGGTTCCATGCGCGCAGTTCTTCCCTTGCGCGGGGTGTTCGACTGGCTCGTTCGCCGGCGGCCGAAGCAAGGACTTGTTATCTGATTTCACTAGACTTGAGAACGGGGACACCGAGGACGCATTTTTCCCTCGAGGCGGATGCTCACCATGGCC